AGAGATGTCCCAGTTAGTCCCGTGAGGGGAAGTAGCCTTCCCCCACCATACGGCACACCAAGTTGAAACTGAGTCCCGAGCAACCCTCACAGCGGAGATCGCTCGGACCCTTAAACTCTCATTAAGTAAAACTGTTAATGACTTTTTCTATAAAATATAATTTTTTTAAATAGTAACATTTTTTATTTTTCATTAACATATTTAAATTCCTTACTTTCTCACGATTCTATACATATGTTGTTTACCAAAAAAAAGTTGAAATTAAAAAAATTAATTATTTTTTCCAGATACATAGAATGAAGTTAACTCTACCAAAAACCATATACCTATTATTAAATAAATATTTACTGTTTCACATAGGTTTTATCTAAATCACTTTAATGCTATTTGACCCAATATTTGCAGTATTTGAAGCAAATACCATTTAACTTAATCTTTAAATTTTAACATTTTTTTGGTAGACAACATATGTATAAAATCGTGAAAAAGTAAGGAATTTAAATATGTTAATTTAAAAGTTAAAAATGTTACTATTTGAAAATTTATATTTTTCATTATTAATAGAAAAGTCATTAGCAGTTTTCCTTAATGAGGGTTTAAGGGTCCGAGCGACCCCCGGTATGAAGGTTGTTTGGGACTCAATTCCAAGTAGCCCTCGCAGCGGGGGGCTCTATGTCTCTTCTAACGGCGAACAGACAAACTAAATGCGAACAGACAAAATATATATATATACTAGGGGGGCTTCGCCCCCCTGCGCGCTTCGCGCGCCAACCCCCTATCTCTATTTTTATATTTATTTTAATTTTTATAAATTTAAAGTAATTTTTTCTTAATATCAATGCATCTTAATAAATTGCATACAATACATGACAAAATACACATAGATTTTGACGTATCATAGATACGTTTATTGTCCTTTATTGTCCCTTTTTAAGTTGTAGTTAAATAAAAGTCAAATTACACATAGATTATGACGTAACTAAATGAGGGAGTAAAAATAAAACGTCAAAATTAGGTCAAAATTATAGGTGTAAGAGCAAACACAATTTTAAAATTACCTTACATTGTTAGGTCAGATGCCAAACTTCACCTCATCATTAAGTCTGCGCGCAGAAATTGTTTGACAAATTTTGACTTCTATGTCAAAGCTGCCCTCAAAATTGACCTAAATTTTGAGGGTAGCGGGAATTCTTTGTCAATTTTTGATGCGTAGGTCAAAACTGCCCTTAAAATTCACCTAAATTTTGAGGGTAGCGGAAATTGTTTGTCAAATTTTGACGTCTAGGTCAAAACTGCCCTCAAAATTGAATTCTTTGTCAAATTTTGACGCCTAGGTCAAAACTGCCTTCAAAATTGACCTATATTAACGTAATGTGAGGCCGTTATTTATCCTCTTTTTGACCTACAGGTCAAAAAATAGGTCAAATTAGACATAGATTTTGACGTAATGTGAGGCCGTTATCCTCTTTTTGACCTATAGGTAAAAAAATTGGTCAATTTTGACATAAGTTTTGACGGCCCCTTTGGGATAGGGCGCCCTTACAGAATCTTGATACAGCGGCGGCGGCGGCGATATCTTTTTGTAATATAGGTAGATATGCAAACGGAATACGGACTTTAATATTGTTAATTTACTTTTGGAGTGCTCAATTATACAGCCTCTATTATCATTATTACTAATTGAATTAAAATTATTATAATTTTTTTTATTCAAAGAACACTTATCCTTTGACTGCTCCATTGTTACAATTTTATTATTATTTACATTATTCCAAGGGTGTGTCTTCAAAAAATTATAAGAATTTGTTTTTTCATATTTCAAAAGACGCTTCTAATCACACTCTACAATCGAATGTCTCATATTTGATCTTCTCATCTCTGAAATCTGACATAGACGATTATCTTAAAACATTTTTTAAATGCTGCCTCATTTTGTTATTTATGCTTTCGTAATTAACAGTGTTTGGCATAACATTATAAAATAATGATGTTGCAAATGCTATTGCATATACTCCGCATTCAACACTACCCATTGGTTGTTGATCAACAGTAACAAAAACTACTGGTGGCTTAAAAGGATATAATCTACTTAAATAATTCAACTGATCTCCATTCAGACATTTTTCATTAAGACTATCAAAAATATAAATTCTTGTTGTAATAAATTTTACGAGGCCTTATACGGTGTAAACAATTTTATTCATTTTGACGACGTTTCGAAACATTGAATATCCTCTTCAGGTCAAATAATTGAAAATAAAAAACAAACAGTCGTTCAGTCATTTCATCGAAAAAAATAATAATAATAATAAATTAATGGAAACCCTCTTTATGAGGTGTTTCTGTTTTCTTTTGTTTTTTCGATGAATGACTGAACGACTGTTTGTTTTTTGTTTTCAATTATTTGACCTGAAGAGGATACTCAATGTATCGAAACGTCGTCAAAATAAATAAAATTGTTTAAACCGCATAAGGCCTCATAAAATTTATTACAACAAAATAAATGAAAACGGATGTAAAATTTATCAAGGAATATAAATTCTTACTCCATCATAATACGTACAAATCCAATGACCCCTCTTATTATGACCACTAAATAGTATTTGAATATGTTTTTCGCCTACTCCAATAGGTCTAATATATTCAAGCAGATCTTCATTTACAAATAAAGTACTTTGCATTCTAAACATAGAATTTGATTCTCTTTCCAAAATTTTTCCCAATTCATAAATATGATTATCACTTAACATTTTTTTATTATTAAGTATTTCTCTATATTCTCTAGCACTTAAATTAACATGGCCTTCTATTCTCGACATTTTTTAATCAATATTTTCTTCTTAATCTAATTTTAATTCCAATTTGTGGGTTTTGATAATAATAATTACGTTTTCCCAATTTATATTTTCTACATCACAATTTCATCAATTCTTACAAAATCATTGTCTCCTATATCAATAATACAAACCAACCAATATTTAACTCATAAAACAATATTCAAGATTTCAACTAAAAAAATGTATTTACTCCATTTCAAATAAGCCACATTCCAATTTTATCCAATATTTAATTATTTAACCAACATATCAATATTTAACCAATCAAATCATATTTAACCCATAAAACAATGTTTTTGAATTCAACAACCAATATTCTATTTAATTCATTTTCAATATGTCAAATTCCAATTTTATTCAATATACATATCCAATAAGCCCTAAGTTCAATTTTATCCAATATATATTCTATTTAATATATTTCAAATTCGTCGAATTCGTCAAATTCCAAATTCATCCAATTTACATATCCAATAAGCCTAAATTCAATATTATCCAATATATTCTATTTAATCTATTTCAAATTCGTCAAATTCCAATTTTATCCAATATATTCTCTTTATTCCATTTTAAATACGTCAAATTCCAATTTCATTTAATATATTTCTCTTTAATCCATTTTAAATGCATCAAATTCCAATTTCATCCAATATATATATTTCTCTTTAATCCATTTTAATTTTTAAATACTTTAAATTCCAATTTCATCCAATATCCAAATTTCAATTTTATACAATATTTCTTTTCTTATCTTTTATTTCATTCAATATCCAAATTTCAATTTTATCCAATATTTCTTTTCTTATCTTTTATTTCATCCAATATCAAAATTTCAATTTTATCCAATATTTCTTTTCTTATCTTTTATTTCATCCAATATTCAAATTTCAATTTTATCCAATATTTCTTTTTTTATCTTTTATTTCATCCAATATCCAAATTTCAATTTTATCCAATTTTTCTTTTCTTATCTTTTATTTCATCCAATATGCAAATTTCAATTTTATCCAATATTTCTTTTCTTATCTTTTAAATAAAAAAAATCAAATGTTATTCAAAACAGAAAAAATATCAAATTTTATTCAAAACAGAAAAAAAATGTCAATTTCTTTATCCTTTAAATTCAAAATTAAAAAAACTATATCAAATGATAATATAATATTTAAAAAAATATAACTATACCTCTCACAAAAGACTTTAATTAACTCTCTACAAATTGTAGAGAAATGATACAAAAAAAAGAAAATATCTAATGTTATCCAAAATAAAAAAAAGTATATCAAACAGTAATGTGATATATTCAAAAAATGAATATACCACTCACGAAGCACGATTGTTAACTCTCTACACTACATACACCTAGAGAAATGATTTATTTGAATTAAATAAAATTTATTTCAAACAAATAAAAAAGGATATTTGTCACAGAACCAACTAAACTTTTATTTAGCTCAAATAATATTTTTTATTTGAATTAATATATTTCGTTTAAATATCCATTTTTATTTAAATGAAAAAAATTTTATATTTTCTTTAAATATATTTTATATTTAGAACAAATAAAAAACACTTTTCATTTTAATAAATCCTGTAAGCATTCTAAAATATTAAAATTCACTTATAACCTTCAAATAAATTTAACAATCACAATCACTAATGGAACTTTTAATATTCATTAAAATAAATGTTTATTTTTATAAGAATATTTGTTAAATAAAGTCAGGTTTTTTTATTGTTAGTCATTTTACTTTACTTTTTCACTTCATATGTAAAAGTCCACTGTCACATTTTTCTCACAAAATCTCAAATAAGACACTAAAATGTAAATGAAATCACATACAAATCTGTTACTTTGTACTAATTAAAATTTTCACTTAAAAAGAAAAATTCTGTACTTAAATCAATTAAATTTGTTAACTATTCATGATGAATAAACCTCTTATAATTGTACGCGTTAAACTGTTAAAAGCAAAACATCTTATTGTTTTACTATAGCAATGCAATATGCGCAGGCGTCTACTTATAAGTCAAACAAACATTTATTTGAATCAAATATATTTTTTATTTGCTACAAATATACTATTTCATAAATTGCAAATATATTTCTTTATTTTAGATTAATTAGTGCATTTATTTGAAATAAATATTAGTTTATTTATTTTAAATAAAATATTTATTTGCAACAAATAAATTTTTCTTAAATATACACTTTTAGTTAAAATAAATAACTTTTTTCTCTGGGTGTACAAGGAGTGATGTCCAAGTTAGTCCCGTGAGGGAAAAAAGCCTTCCCCCACCATACGGCACACCAAGTCAAAACTGAGTCCTGAGTTAGGGTTGTTCGACTTCACCAGAAAGTCGACTTTCGACTTTTCGATCGACTCTGTTTGAGTCGACTTTAAAGTCGACTGATCGATAAGAAAAAGTCGACTTTTTTCGACTTTTCGACTTTTTTGGATAAAAAACTGTATTATGTTGTGCAATTAACTTATTATATTTGTAATACATATAATCAAACATGTAACATTTATTTATAAACATTATCTTTTTAAGTACAACTAATTAAACCATTTTTCGTCCAAACTACGCATAAATACTAGTTGATCTAGGTGCTTTCCAGAAATTCGATTTCTAAGTTTTGTCGCTATTAGCCCTGTATGAGAGAAAAGTCTCTCTGCTGGAACAGAGGTGGCTAAAACCGGTAGAAATTGAAGCGCCACTTTATATACATGAGGATATTCTCCTTTTAAAACAGCCCAGGCAGCTAGCGGGTTAGGATTTTCTATACGATTAATGATGGGTCTATTTAAATATTGTCTCATTTCCACTGGGATTCCACCAGCAACATCTTGATCAGCGTTTAAGACCTTATCTTTCACTGACTGGTCAAATTCAAACCAAAGACTGTCCTCTGAGCTTGAAACTTTTTGAGAATTTTGAACTAGATTTCTAGAATCAACTCCAATACATTCTGATACCAATGAACCTGAAATTAGTCATTTTTTTATAAAAACACACTTAAATCTTGTATAGTTTAATGTAGTAGATAAAATTGAGTTCGATTTTTAAAACAAGTAATTTTAAATATTTTAAAATCAATATATTTTTGAAGAACTTTATATCTATTTTTCGAGTTATACGAGTTCTTAGATATAAAATTAAAATTTCTTTTAAAAATTTTTATTAAATTTATAATTTTGTTATTTTTAAAAATAATATTTAATTTTTTGATATATATAACTGCATTAATTGGATTACTAAATGGCAAAAACAACACATCAAATCAAGTACCTTCTTTGCCTATACATACATGCATACATTACTTTTGTTTTAAAATAGAATAATTAAAATAAAAATATTTCTTACCAATATGTGTTACTGCTTTTGATGCAGCAACTATGTTAGTGAATACGTCTTTTTTAAACCTTGGATCAAGAAGAGTCGCAGCTGAGTACGGTTTTACAAACTCTACGTTTGAAAATTTTGCTTCAACTAAAGATTGTAACTTTTTCTTAAAATTAAAACCGTCTTTAGTTCTTGTCTCGATTCCATTAATTTTCTGAAAAAAAATTTTAATTTACTAGCATATTACTAATTTTCATTTTACATTTATATATTAAGTTGTACTTACGCATCTCATTGCATTGATCAGGGGTATGCATTTGCTTAATGTTACAATTTTTTCGGAAGACATTTCAAGTGTAACCTGCCAAAGTGGTTTCAACACGTCTTTTACCTCCTGCATAATTTCCAACTCTACAGCAGTCAACATGATAGGAGGCTTACTTTTTGAACTTCTGTTTCGCTGAAGATTCATCAAAACAACAGTGACAAATCCTGATAATAAGAGGAACCTTTCCAACATATCATAACAAGAGTTCCATCTTGTTTTTACCTCTTGAATTAATTTTAACGTTGTTTTATTTTCAACGTTAGACTATTTGCAGTTTCTCTAATTTGGAAGTAGCAATTTCGCTCTTTTTAAAAAATCGTACAATCCGCTTTACTTTTAAAATAATCTGTTTTATAAAATTGTTACTCGTTTTCGATATTAAATCAGCTAATTGTTCATCATTAATTTCATCGTCTAAGTCCTCTTCATTATCAGGAACTTCACTGTAATTCGTTTCTTCCGAAGGAAGCTTCTTCTCATGAAGATCAATACATGCTTGACCAATATTATTAATCTTATGAGCAAGACAGCTGATGTGCTTTGATGCACCAAACTCTTCTTGAACAGCTCCAGCAATATTAGCTCCACCATCGGTTAGAACAGCCACAATTTTGTCATAATTAATTTTCCACTCTTGGCAAATTTCTTTGAAAATGCATCGAAGGTTAACGATTGTTTTTCTATCTGTAATAAGCTTTGCACAAAGGTCAATTGACTGCATATCCATACCTATAACAGATTTAGAGATATAAACGTTAACACAGAGAAGAATTTAAATATTTTTAGTTTAAATTAAAATAGTTTAAAAAATTAAAATAGTTAAATTAAAAAAAATAAAATTAAAATAGTTTTAGGATAATATATCTAAAAATAACTCTTACCAACTAAGAAGTGAGCTGTAACTCCCAAATATGATTTCATTGTACTTGAGTGAGTCCAAATATCAGCAGTTAAACAAATTGATGGTGATTGAGACAAAAGACAAGAAAATTGTTCTCGCAATTCACAATATTTATTTTCTAGTCTTCTTGTGAGAGTCGATTCGGATGGAATTTGAAAAAGTGGTTGTAATTTTTTTACAAAATATCGAAAACCAGTACGCTCAGGAGTACGCAATGGCATATCATCTTTAGCGATCATAAAAATCAATGCGTTAGTAGCGGCAATATCTCTGTATCCACCAGCTAAAAGAAAGTTATAATTGTCTATTATTATTTTTATTATTTTATTACTATTATTATTATTAGGATTATTAGTATTATATTTTAAATGTTATTATTAATTGCACAACTGTATACAAAATTCTAAAATTACGAAAAGAATGATACCAGGACAAGTGTGCTTTTTGAAGCAAGGGAATTCACACGAAACTTGTCCATTACACGCTAACAAAATTGACTCATGCTTTAAGGTTTTTCATTTAAAATCAGTAAAATCAGATTGTGCTTTTATACCTGAGAATGATAATACGTTGTTCATACACTTATTCATTGGTCCTGGAGAAATTATTGGTGAAGATGTAGATGTAGATGCTTTCTTAACTATTTCTTGATTGAAATCCGATTGTACTTCCGAACAAGCTTCAGACGCCATAACCTACAAAAATTTATTTTAAACGTACACTGTAAAAAAGTATAAATTTTGCTGTTTGAACAGTATAATTACACGATTCTTTAACGAATTTCGTTACAAATTTATGTAATTTTACTCCAGTCAGTGTGGCAATAGATTTTGAGGTTAGAAATACAAGATTCTATAAATTTACAGTACTGAGAAGAGCAATTTTAAATCACCCGGTGAATTTCGCAACGCCATTTAAATTTACCGTACTGTGAGATGGTTTTCTTCTCGCAAATTGAAAATGTCATTTTTACAGATTATTGGGAATTGAATAATTAAATTTAAAATTACTCCTTTCAGTCGTGTAAATTTACTGTTCTATATGAGATCAAATTACAAAAATTCTGTGAAAATGTCACGCTTAGAATAGGTTCTTTCCCTCGCATACACAGCATGTAAAATCACATTTTTAAGTGTATTTTTTAAAATTAATTATTTGTAAGGTACTCAACTGTTTAACAAAAACTTTCTTGCATCAAATTATTAAAGTAAATATGGATATCTTACCTCCTTATTAACTGAAGATTGAGAAGACAGAGGATTAACATTTATGTTTGCTTCATCTACAGAAGAGAGCCGAATTCTTTTTACATTTGTAGGAATTTGTCTTTCAATGGTAATTTTATGTGCTGTTCTCAAGTGATTTGCTAATGTTGTTGTGCTATTGTTGAAATTCATTTCTTTACCACATTTTCCGCATTTCACTTTAGTGTTGTTGTCAATTTTTGTAAAATATGTCCAAACAGCACTTGGTGCCATTGTTTAAAATTATATTTTAATCTTTATTTCTAAGACGTTAGGCTATTAATTTATTCACTGCACATGATAAATATGTTTACTTTCAATTGTTCACTATACGACACTCTTTTGTTTAAGATTTTTCGCGATTCGCGGCAGAAACTTCCTTAGGTCCTATTTTCAATGTAACCTAAAAGCGAGCGAGTGGTCAGGGTGCAGTTACTGATACTGGGTTGTAGAATAATGGAGTAGATTTGACCGACCAATCAGAGTAGTCTCTCTCTAGCAGTATAGACAGATATTATCTCTGTCCTTTTCTAACTCAACTTTTCCGAACCCGTTTTCGTATCCGGCGTCATTTTGCTTTGGTTTTGAAAAAAACTTAAAAGTCGAAAGTCGACACTGCAAAGTCGATTCTAGTCGACTTTATTAAATTGAAAGTCGATCACTAAAAGTCGACTTTTAAAAATGGAAAGTCGACTTTAGTCGAAAGTCGAAGTCGACTTTGCCATCCCTAGTCCTGAGCAACCCTCACAGCGGGGATTGCTCGGACCCTTAAACCCTCATTAAGGAAAACTGTTAATGACTTTTTCTATAAAAATACAAATATTTTAAAAAGTAACATTTTTTATTTTTCATTAACATATTTAAATTCCTTACTTTCTTACGATTCTATACATATGTTGTTTACCAAAAAATGTTAAAATTAAAAAAAATTATTATTTTTCCAGATACATAGAATGAAGTTAACTCTACCAAAAACCATACCTATTATTAAATAAATATTTAACTTAATCTTTAAATTTTAACATTTTTTTGGTAAACAACATATGTATAAAATCGTGAGAAAGTAAGGAATTTAAATATGTTAATGAAAAATAAAAAATGGTACTATTTAAAAAATTTATATTTTATAGAAAAAGTAATTAGCAGTTTTTCCTAATGAGGGTTTGAGGGTCCAAGCGACCCCCGCTGTGAAGGTTGCTCGGGACTCAATTCCAAGTAGCCCTCGCAGCGGGGGGCGTTTTGCTCCCTCTAACGGCGAACAGACATACTAAAAGCGAACAGACAAAATATATATATGCAAACGGAATACGGACTTTAATATTGTTAATTACGGTTTTCGAGATACGTTACAGTTTTCTTAAAAAAATGTTTTTTATAATAAATTTTAGATATTTGTAATTGTGGAGATTTCTAGATTTTGAATTTATATTCATTTTACTTGAAATTTTAAAATTGCAAAACTTTTGAGCAATAAAAATTAGGTTAGAGACCCGAACCTCGTAACAATAGACCCGCAATTCTATTGTCAAAAAAGGGCTACGCACAAATTTCAAGTTTTAACGGTACTTTACATTTACCGGCTATATTTCGGTGAGGGGCTGTAAATAAAAAAAAAGATTTCAATGCTCAATAATCACAACCCATAAACATCAGGATTCAACAGGAGCATGAAAAATCCTTTAGTCAGAATTAACCAAAAGCTTCAGGAATCGTCAAAGTAGTCACAAAACATCAAAATTTCTGACGTTCTCTCTTTATTTCTGATTTTATTTTTAGCAGGGAAGTAATTAAATTCCTTTGAAATTTTTATTATTTTTGAAAATAATGAAATGTTTGCGTAGAATTTTTAAAAATAATTGAATTCGTCTGGAATATTTTATTAAAATATAGATATTATGTAGATATTTATGTAGATATTGAAAATCAGTGAAATGAGAAAAATTTTTGAAAGTAATTGAAATTTTCCCAATATTTTTATTCAAGTTTTGAAAGTGTAACTAAATTTCAGAGAATAATTTTATTATGTATTTACAAAGGAAATTAAAATTTAGACCAGATTTAAAAAAATTTTTTGAACATAATTGAATTTCTACAATAATTTGTAACTTCTTCAAAATTCAATTTTTTAGTGTTTTTAACAAAAATTCTTCTATACATTCAGTATCTTTACTAATTAATTAAATTATATATTAAACAAATTAATTAATTATAGAAAAATTTTAATTATTAAAATTTTTCAAAAATCTAAGTTGTTTAAAATTTCTGATTAAATTCATTCGAAATTAATATTTTACAAAATTTTAAATTAAAACTTTTTGAAGTGCATCTTTTTATAAAAATTGTAAACGCAACTCTTAAACTTCAATTACTTTTGAAATATTTTAGTAAAATTGTTTATTAAATAATTCCTAAGTAATAATTTTCATTATTTAAATTGAAATTATTATCAGAACTAGGAAAAATTGTAGGTTTTGTATTAGAATTCGTGGTAATTTCATAGTTTAGGAAGCAAACAAAAATGGAGCTGATGATTGAAAAAATATATCAAGGAGTTGAAAAAATACTTTTATTTAAAGTTTTGTAAAACTAATTTTTTAGAAAAAAACACGTTGTTTAACAAAAATCACATTTCCAAATACTCGAACTTGAATTAAATTTTACACAGTTAATGTGATACCACTCTAAACAATAATCGCAATTTACAGATGGTTCTCGACTCCTAATTTCTTCCTTACACTTCGGACACACCCAAACAACATTTTAATCTTTCTGCTTTTTAATCTGTTTTATTATCAAGAAAGCGTCTTCGGTGAAATATTTGGAAAATTTTTTAATCTCCACATCTTCGTGAAGAATTTTGTTAGAAATGCGTTTGGGCATTATTTCCACCTCTTCTTCTCTTATTTTGTAATTATCGAAAATTGCATTAGAAGCAATTTTATCAGAAACAAAACATTTTAATATAATTTTTGCTTTTTCGATATCACTTTTTTCAGAAAATTTTTTTTCTTTTAACTGAACAGGAGCCAAATTCTGATTTTGCTTCCTTGTTTTTGGTAATCCAATTGCATTCAACTTTTTTGACCCCTTTGGTCTTCCTCTTGGTTTAAACGTAGGAGGGATTCGAATGTCTTCTAATTGTAGTGTGTGTAATTTAATTGGGCTGTTTTCGTTTACGTGAAATTTCGGATTTAGAGAAACTACGTTACTAACAATATCATCCTTTGGTACTGGTTGCAAAAAGTCCAAAAAAACCCATGAATGGTCAATTCTAAAAATAAA